ATTATCGAGAAATTACATCTCTCTTGTCTGAGAGGGAGAGAGAGTGAAAGAGACAATGACGATGATAATAGTATAGCAAATTGAAGATGCCAACGTGCGAGACATATGCATAGTCGGAAATTCATAGACCCGTACGTGAAAAGCGAGCATACTCAGCAAAATATTGTTTCCTGCTTGGTCCGGGTACCAAATTATTTGGGCGACAACGGTGTCTGGAATTAACAATTCACTTGTGGTGCAAGCGAGAGCTTGGCATGTTCTAAGTCTTAAACTGTAGTATTTTGGTCGTACACCGTTATAAAATGTCCTCGTGTAGTCTTAGTTTCCTAGCATATCTGGTTAGCGAAATCGTTTAATATTTGACACACTAGGCGTATGTCAAAGCTCATTTTACTTGTACAATTATCAGAAATAAATATCCTCTTGAAGTTTGAACGTTCTAGTTAACTTAGTTTCAGAATTGGCGTTTTGCCAACGACAAATTTGACATGTCCCTGCACACAAGGTGTATATGTCTGTAAAGCTGAATTTGAAATCTTTAGCTCATACAAGCACAGAGAATGTCCCTGCATACTTTCAGCTCTCTATCTTATTTGTTGCCCAAGATCACTTTCCCGCCAAAAAATTCGCATATTCTTTAAAGCATTCGCACGCGACACCCAGGCCTGAGCGAGTGATGATATTTAAAACGGTGAGCACACATTCCCGAATTTCCAACCCTCTAGCATTTTCGTTCCTCGAGTTGCAAGTGGATGAAAAAAGTACGAACACCCAGACAGCCTCTTGCCACTATGCGTTTTTGCATTTGGATATACACAAAAACGCACAAAAATTGGCATTCATGTACGGTGAAGATTTACACGGCTTCATGAAGCTTTTTGACATCACTGGTGCCCCTCTTCCCTCCCAATGAGCCTCACTTCCTTGTTTTTCCCTCGCCCTTGGTCATTGTCGCTGGGAGTGATGATCAAGGGCCGGGGAAGGGGGAGGGAGGGAGGAAGAGTGGGGGGCTTCCGACGTTGTGACGAACGGAGGGGCGGGAAAGGGGGGATGAAGGGGAGAGGGTAAAGGGAAAAATCGCCTCTTCCCAAGAAACCGTCCTGGATCCGCTTATTATGGCAACCTGTGTTCAGTTCAGTCTCCGCAAAAAAAATCGTGCAGACATCCTGAACGCATTTGTCCATCTTTTCTAAATTTGTTCGCGTGCACCTTAAAGTAGTAAGAGAAAGCCGCCTCTCCTTTTTTGTTACTCCAGGTCCGCAAGCTTTCCTACGTAAAGTTTCCAGGATGTGCAGAAAATTCTAGAAGATGTTTGGCAAGAAGCAAATAAAAGCATTGAGAAAGGTGGAGCAATCGAAAAAAACGGGGCGGAATGGAATCCCTTCGAAATTATCTTTTTTTATCTTCAAACACAACCTGAAATGTTTTCGCGGCTGCTTGCTCTACACAGCAGCGATAAATACGATGGTGAGTAGAATATTTCTTACCAGTATCTACAGATGCACCTTCAGCATAATAGTTACATTCTTGATTCCTGAAAGGTACGGCTGCTTTCGGATCTCGGCAATTTGCAAAATTGCACTGTAATCACAGCCTTTGTGACTACACTTTGGATTTGCATGCAGCATGTCGAAATATGAGAAATGGTGCATGCCTTATAAAAATCTAATCACTTGTCGAAAGAAAGTTCTAGATACTCACAAGCAATTTGACAGTGCATTCGCATGAAATGAGTATTTCTAATGATAGTATTTGATAAACATCCTTTAGCGACCTATCAATGACTAAAACGATCATAGTCACCCTTTTTAAAACGGTCATAGTCACCCTTTTTATGGGTTTTTGCCATGCAGCGCTAGAGCGCTGCAACAGGCAGCAAAAACGCATATTGCAACGACCCTGTC